CTTTGTCTGTTTCCCCTGCGTGCTGTGTCCGTGCAATTAACCCTCAAACTGCCTCACAGTTTTCTGCTGCTTTTAAAACTCAGTGATTTACATCTTGGTGATTTTCTTAATGTGGAGGAACTCGTCAGCATCTTTGACTCTACTTGTACTGAGATACTTAACTCTGTTGCCCCACTGAGGGAGAAACGTATAAAACCTCTAAAAGAACCTTGGCTGAATGAAAATACCCGCTCTCTCAGACGGGCTTGCAGAACAGCTGAGAGAAAGTGGAAGAATGACAAACTCCAAGTGTCACTTCAAATTTTAAAAGATTTATTACATAAATACCAGGGAGCAGTTAAATCTGCTAAAACTCATTATTTATCTCACCTGGTTGCTAGTAACACCCAGAGGCCTCAGGTTCTTTTTAAAGTGTTTAACTCACTTATTAATCCTTGTGAAAATGACTGTGCTGTGCCATCCACATTGTTATGTGAAAACTTCCTGAAACATTTCATAGATAAAATTGCTGGCCTGAGCTTTTCATCCCCCGTTTCTTCCGATGGCCCCTCTGTTACTTTTTCATGCCCAGCGGTCTTTCAGCAGTTTGAGCCAGTTTCACTAAACCTTCTTTCTGACATAGTCAAACAGCTTCGTCTGGCTAACTGCCTACTGGATAGTATCCCTGCACGCTTACTTAAAGATGTTTTTAACACTGTTGGGTCCAGTATTTTATCCTTGGTTAACTCATCTCTCAGCTCAGGGTGTGTTCCAGCCGCTTTTAAACATGCTGTTGTGCAACCACTCTTAAAAAAGAAAAATCTGGATCCGTTAGTTTTGTCTAACTTTAGACCTATTTCTAAATTACCCTTTTTATCTAAGGTCTTGGAGAAGGTGGTTTTAATCAACTTCAATCATTTTTAGATGATTTTAGTATTCATGAAAAGTTTCAGTCGGGCTTTAAGCCCCGCCACAGCACTGAAACAGCCCTTCTAAGAGTCTATAACGACCTCCTCTTAGCTGTAGATTCAGGAAATTCTGCTGTTTTAGTGCTCTTAGATTTGACTGCTGCCTTTGACACGGTCAACCACTCTATCCTTTTATCCCGACTCAAGCAAAGTGTTGGCATTAGAGGTATAGCCCTAAAATGGTTTGAATCCTACTTGACGGAGTTTTTCTGTCCACATTGGTAACTGCTCTTCATCTGTTGCCCCTCTGTCCTGTGGGGTCCCCCAAGGTTCCATTTTGGGACCTATGCTATTTTCTCTGTATATGCTGCCCTTAGGGTCCATTTTTAAAAAACACTACATCTCTTTCCATTGTTTTGCTGATGATGTACACATTTACCTGCCTGTAAAAAACAATAAGGACACTATCAAGCCGCTGATAAACTGCTTGAGTGATCTCAAAGTATGGATGGATCAGAATTTCCTCTGTCTTAATGACAGTAAGTCCGAGGTTGTTGTGTTTGGACGTGCTGAACATCTCAGTGCCTGTGTAGATACTCTCAGTATTTTAGGCTCCCAAATTCGTCCTTTTACCAGAAATCTGGGAGTGATTTTTGACAGTGCTTTTAAACTTGACAAACAGATTAGTTCTGTTGTCAAAACTAGCTTCTTCCAGCTGAGACTCCTGGCTAAAGTCAAGCCCTACCTGCTACGCAAAGACTTTGAGAGAGTCATACATGCATTCATTACGTGCCGCTTAGACTACTGCAACTCACTGCGTGTTGGGTTGGATCAGTCATCCCTTCGTCGCTTGCAGTTAGTCCAGAACGCGGCAGCTCGACTTTTGACCAGGACAAAAAAACGCGACCACATTACACCGGCTTTGGCCACCCTCCACTTGCTTCCTTTGTTTCAGGATTGAATTTTAAAATGTATTAATTGTTTTTAAAATTTTAAATACAGATGCTCCTCGAAATGCCTGGATCCCGGTTAAAATCCAGAGGTGACCGAGCCTTTTCAGTGGCTGCTTCAAACCTCTGCAATAGTTTACCTATCCATGTAAGAACAGCTCGGACCATTGCAACGTTCAAGTCCCTCCTTAAGACCCACTATTATTCATTGGCTTTTAATTCAAGTTGAGCTTTGATATTTTGACTTTGTTCTTCTCTACTGTCAGATATTTTGTATTGTACATTGTGCTCTGTCGGTGTTTTATTGTATCGCTGCTTTTCGAGCTTGTTAAGCACTTTGGTCAACTGAGGTTGTTTTTAAATGTGCTATATAAATAAAATTGAACTTGAACTTATCCTGCTTGTATTCATCAAAATGTTTTTTAAATTAAATCCTTATACTTTTTTAAAACTGCAAAAGTAATACAGCTCCATCTTATTTTATCTTTATCAGACTCTGGTACACAACACACTGCTTCAGGCAATCAATGTCTGCTTCAAGGCATTCTTTGTGATGGATATCAAATACCCGAAGCAATGTGAACATGTGTGGGAATTCCTGCAGGCTGTTGTTTATAAAATGCCAGGAGCGGGTTCCAAGTTAGTAAAGTTCCTCCAAAGTCGATTACTTGCTTGCAAGTAGAGCCTCAAGGGCAGCTGGTTAGTAAAAATGTTAAACCTGTTAGTTGTTAGACTTGTTTTGTTATGATAATAAACTGAGTGTCTCTTTGTGGACACAACAAGAGATTTGAGGATGTCATCTTGTGGTTTTACAACATTTTACATTTTATACACAACAACTAATTGATTAAACATTTACATAATTGACAGATTAATCGATAATGGATTTCCATTATCAATCATTAGTTGCAGCCCCATTTTGTTGATAGTGATTAAAACTTACAATTCATTTTATATTGTGGATATTTTATGATATATTAATTTTAGAATTCCAATACTTTCAAGTGTTAATTATGATATGTCCTTTGCATGAACAAATCTAGCATGTATTTTGTTACAGGTTTGTAGTTGAACAGTTTTATAGACAACAAATAGTGTGTAGTTGAATGAACCCAGAATTATATTTAATATGACCCAGCAATTGGGTAGAATATTTAACTCATCTGTTGGGTTAAAATGGCCAACCCACAGTGCTGGGTCAAATTAAGTACTGCTAGGTTGGTGCAATAGTGACCCAGCAGTTGAGTTATAAAACAACCCAAATTGGGTTATTTTTAACCCAAACTTTTTTAGTGTGCACCGTTGTAATACGTGATCTTTACTCACAACGGCCAATGCTTTGTTATGATGATCATGACTGGCTTGAATCAACTCTGTCACAACAGTAAAATCACAACACCAGCAGCTGAAAGGACCTCTTCCTTTACCTGTGGGTGTTCCGGTCATAACAGTGAGCGCAGCCATGGACTTAGTACCAATGTAGTGGCTATTGAGCAGGAAGTGGGCCAGGTCCTCCACGTGGTCAAACTGACGACTCAGGACCTTTTGGGCCCACTCGCACACCAGTCCGCAGGCGGCAGATCTCATTTCATCTTCAGCACTCGGGGACTGGCCCATCGGCTCCATCAGCTCGCACTGCAGCAGAGAGCAGCACGTGGTCGAGCGTCAGACAGCTTCACGTGTACCACTATTTATTCACAGTACGTTGTATTTTTAATTAATTTTCAGAGTAACTTACCCCATCACCAGACTTCTGCAGATCCAGGTTGGGTAAGGACGGCATGTGAACGAAAGCTTTCTTCCTTAACCCGCTATAACAGTATGTGGGAAGGAGTTAAGTAACATAACATGTAACATCATGACTTAGTCTGTTGAGAGATATGGTTTTACACTGGGTCTGGTCAACTTCTCACTTTCTGTCTCATCTTTTCTTCTTATCTTTTTTTAAGGCAAATCAAAAAGGTACATTCTCTGAAAATCAGACCACAGGACAATGTGTTTGGTGTATGGACACAACTGATAACAATCAACAGCTTTTCCCGTGGTTGGATTTCTCAGTGATTGATTGATTATTATCTTATTCCTGTGCAGTTTTCATATAGTCCATTAAGTAATTTGTATTCAATGTGATTTGCCAATGATGTTATTTCTTTTCATGAATTATAGAAACCCTATCAGATGGAATCTTAAGATTTCTGTGAACAACACATACCATCAATTTAAGTAATTACAGCTCCAATGTCGAGGGTAAAACTCATTCTGAGAGGAAATTAATGCTTTGCCTCTTAAAATGCCATCACTACATGTCTGCAGTCAACGAATGTCATCAACTCACAATTTGAAGAATACACAAGAAGAACGAAGGGGAAAAAAATCATCAGAATGAAAGGATATTTGGATTTGCCCCTCATGCCCAGTCGACGTGCCTTCATGTTAGGAAAAACATTCTTCATGATCTTTCCGAAGTCGGCTGCACTCAGGGGATTGTAGCCGAGATTGTCACAATAGCTCCTGCAAGAGAAGATAGTCCTCCATGAGAATAACAGTGAAACACATACTGGTGTCGCTGTGCCCCTGGGTTTGTCTGTTCCACTCACTTGTATTCATCATACACCTCTTGCTTCGGGAGGGAAGTCTCTGGATGCTCTTCTAGGTGATTGCGTATCCAGTTGAATGCATACATCTGTTGCGTGCGGCTTGACGACATGGAACTCTGATCACTGAAATTAGTGGGGAGGAAAAATAAATGTGGTGAGGCAGAGTCCTCTATTTGAACGCATCATTTCTTGTTAATAGAGAAACTTTAATACCATAATCCAGGAGTGGAGGACCCCCTCTCATTCTCAGTCCAAATGGGTAGAATTTGGGGGTTGGGGTGATGAATAGATATGGGGAAACAAATGAAACACACACAGCTAGGTATAGTAAAAGCCTACAGAGATCAGTGGTTTGCTTCACAATGATAATTAATCATACAGCCAGAAAATGAATGATAATTTAGTGTTAAAATAATCTAATGAGCGTCACAAAAAGAAGCAGCCATGTGTGAGTGAGACAAAATAAGCAGAAGAGCAAAGTGGAAACAGTGTGTGTGTGTGTGTGTGTGTGTGTGTGTGTGTGTGTGTGTGTGTGTGTGTGTGTGTGTGACATACCTTTTATCATTCCCATTACTGGGACCAGAAGGCAACTTCAGGTAGAGGTAGAGTTTTTCGATGTCTGTAAACGTCTCAACATCTTGCTGTAAAAATTAAATTAACACAAAAAACTGGGTAAAAACATAATTTATACAACACAAAATGAAATTAGTTTTTGAGAAGAAAAGATAGGAATGTATACCGCGTGAGAGAAATATGGAATAGAGAATGAAGATAAAAGATACTGTCAATCGTAAGACGCTAAATCTTATTTCAGGTTATATTTATATGGTTTTGTTTAAAAGGTCAGCAAACCAATCTTTGCAAAAATAATTGAATTAGCGCAGATGTTATAAAATGCTACACAGGTAGGCAGTTACCGCAACCGCAATTGATTTCACCCCAACTGCTTTTCAATAGGTTTCGAAGAATGGACTCATCATACCCATTTCCTTTTCTATTTGCCTCTTTGTTGCTAGGGGAACCAATACTTGAATGAGATGACAGATATTAGCCAATGAGCAGTGAATGAAAACGTTAGTTACTACACTTCATTGGTACAAGCATAGTAATAGAATTAATTAGACCTCCACTGCTCATCCCCGAACATTGCTCTTCACATCTGACAAAATAACCTATACAATAACTTACAAAACAATTTGTAAACTCTGATGCTCTCATTTTGGCGGACTTTGTAAAGACTTGATGTATTAAGTAAAAAATAGATCTGCTTCCGGCATGTACCCCGAACTTGTTCCAAATTACGTTGTGTCACTATGCAAAGAACTTATGTGCATCAGTGTTAATTTTAGCAGATATTTTTGTCTTAGTCTTTAGACGAAAATGCATATTAGTTTTAGTCACATTTAGTAATTTTAATCCTTCTTAGTTTTAGTCTAGTTTTCGTCGACGAAAACTCAGAACATTTTAGTCTGGTTTTAGTTGACGAAAACTAGACTAAAATGTAATTAGTTTTAGTCACATTTAATGTACAACTTGTCTACAGCTGCATAATAGTCTAGCTTGCAGTACTTGGTTGTCCATTAGATGTCCCTCATAGGACAGGTCTATAGCAGCGGTCGGCTTTTTGACTCGCGGGCCACAATGGGTTGTAAAATTTGACGGAGGAGCCGAGCCAAGAACAAACGGTTGAAGTGTTTGTGTGAGCGACTATAAATGACATGTGAAAAATTACATGAAAGGATTTGGATTTTAACAAATAGCAAAGCATTTATTTGCAAGGCAATTTAACAAATTGGCAAAGGTGTAACAACTTCATGAGGACCAGGGACCTAAACGCAACACTTTGTTGTCTTTGTCTGTTTACTTGCAATGCTTCCGTAGTCGGTGCACAAGAACCACCGCTGCACCGATGCGAGCGTTCTGGGTTCGTGGATGACGTCATCATGACGCGTTAACATCCGCGTACTTTGCCTGTTTGTTGTCTGTTGGCTGCGTGCGAATTTAGGGGGGGAAAGTATCGTGACTTTGTCAACCACCAGCATGTTTGTCTCGTCTCGTCTCGTTAACGAAAGTTAGAATAGATTTAGTCATAGTTTTTATTTTTTAAGATCGTTTTCGTCACGTCTTAGTCTCGTCTTAGTCATGGAAAAAAAGGTCGTTAACGAACATTTTTCATCATAGTTTTTGTCGACAAAATTAACACTGCCCGGAATCAGGTTAATGCCCAAAAAGAAGGTGCATTAATAGAAATATTTGAAATATACACAGAGTAAAAAAAGAAAATGGTTCCTGTATATTGCAAAAAGATCTGTGTATTTACAGGCCAATGTAATGTACACTACTGTATTTGCGATTAAAAAAAAACTGTAAAACATATGAGTAATTCATATAAAAGGCAAGGACTCAGCATTACACATGCATGTATGAATTATTTCTCATTCAAAGCAAAGCTGCGCATCTGTTCTGATGATCCAGATGAACTGCTGTGACTCATGATCAGGGGTTGTTGGAGTGTAAGGTAACAAACAACAAAGACTTGGTTTGTGCAGGTGGAACACTTTGTTATGGATACTCACCAATATGCCGTCCACTTTTGATTGTACAGATTTGCTGAAATACAAAGAGTAGCATGAGTCAGAATGGCGAATAAATAGGAGTTGCAATAATATAACAATTTTCCGGTTATTTGCACTGGTTTCTTTTCCCCTTGCTGATTTTTCATTTATTAATTGAGTTTTAATATGTATACTAAATTAAGATACAGAATGTGATGGGTTAAAGCATCATTAATAAAAGAAGAGATTAAGACAACATAACATTGTTATCTGTATCTACTGAGATAACACAATGAAACTTTTGAAAGTATTTAGACCTATGAACAGTGAAAATATGTTTCAGAATGTTTTTCACATTTTTATATTGTTTGCTTAGGAAACTTTTTACATTACATGTCATTTAGCTGACGGTTGTATCCAAAGTGACTTACAATAAGTGCATTCAGCCATAGAGATACAAACTCAGAAGAGCAAGAAACAAGAAAGTGCAATTTCATCAAATAAGCCAATTTATAACTTGCTATAGATGAGAACCATTATAAGTCCAATGTAAGTGCTACAGTTAGTTAGTGTGTTAGTCGAGGTAGAGTCTGAAGAGGTGTGTCTTTAGTCAGAAGATGTGAAGGCTCTGTGTGGTCCTGGTGTCTTCAGAGAGCTCGTTCCACCATTTAGGAGCAAGGACAGCAAAGAGTCGAGATCTAGTCGAGTGTTTTGCTCTCAGTGGGGGAGGGACGAGTAGTTTTGCAGATTCAGAGCGGAGAGTGCGGGTTGGGATGTAGGGTTTGACCATGTCCTGGATGTAAGCTGGACCAGATCCATTCACAGCATGGTAGGTGAGCACCAATGTTTTGAACTGGATGCGGGCGGCCACCGGTAGCCAGTGAAGAGAGCGGAGGAGTGGAGTAGTGTGGGAGAATTTCGGAAGGTTGAAGACCAGTCGAGCTGCTGCATTCTGAATGAGCTGCAGAGGTGGAATGGCGGGTAGCAGGGAGAACAGCCAGGAGAGTTGCAGTAGTCCAGGCGGGAGATGACAAGAGCCTGAATCAGTACCTGCGCTGCCTTCTGAGTGAGAAGAGGACGTATTCTCCTGATGTTGTAGAGCGTGTATTATTACATAATCCTTCTTTTACATTACATTACATTACAGGTCATTTAGCTGACGCTTTTATCCAAAGTGATTTACATTACATTTTTAACCCATGGCTTTTTTACATGTATCTACAGGATCGTGTTGTTGCAGTGATGTTGGGAGTCAGGGAGAGTTGGCTGTCGAGTGTGATGCCAGAGGTCAAAGTGGGCGTTAACACAGAGTTGCCAAAGTTGACCGTCAGTTGACCGTTGGGAGAAATTGCTTTGAGCTTTCTTCCTCACAGAAGCTCATTCAATTCAGTGAGGTTGAAACAACAGGACGGTAAGAGACTTGTCTCAGAGCCACTCCAGCGTTGGCCCGGCTCTGGGTTGAGTGCACTGATAAATGCATAGCAGAAACTCGAAACTTAATGTGTAAATAAAACATTTAAAACCTTTTTTTGGAGTAAGTACATATAACGCATTTTAAATTCCATAGACCAAGTGTGCACAATGTAAATGGGCACAGTAGTTCATAACACCTGAGCAGATACATGTTCTATATTTTACTGCACGGTGATGGAAAAAACTGGAAATAATGTCTTTTAATCATTTCCAAAGGCCTCGGCAGACACCGAACGAATCCTAACCCAAGAAGGCATCGCGCTGCATTAGCAGCCTCAATTTAGCGAGAGACGCGGTGGTAAGACACTGTCACCTGTCACATGCCCCTCTTCGGCTTGGATGCTAATGACTGCGGCCACTATCGCGTCAATAACCGCGCGGTGCGACGTCTTGGCTCGCTGCGCTGCAGCAGCATTTCTGTTAAATGCCTCTGTGTTTAATGCTACGCACCCCGACTCCCACCCCACCCACCACAGCCAAATACGCTAATTACGAGGCTACGGCTAGCAAAAAAGGGCAGCGAGGCTCGCTGGAGCAAACGTCTCCATCCTTACCAGATCGAGTTCTTTATTTTGAACTGCAGCGCGTTGGCCTCGGGCCCCTGGAGCCCCGGAACCAGGGCTGGGAGAGAGCCTAACCCCGAGGCAGGCTTCGGACCCGGTTGTTGTTGATCATGAGCCATCGCGACGGAGGGGTGGTGATGGTGTTGGTGGTGGTGGCAGGAGGGAAGGAGGGGGGGGGCTTTAACAAGTAGGCCTCATCCCCGGCTGTGTGCACTGCGCCGGACCCACCGCTGCTGAGCGGCTCAGTCAGCTAGGACAGCCCGCTGAATCCACCGCAGATCATGGCTACAAAACACTACGATCGGACCCTCGGGAAAACACACCGAGCTAAAGCAAAAACAGCGGCCGGCCATACAAAAAGGCATTTCGCAGCGATCTCTCCCTCTCCGCTGGCGCAAATAGGCCCGTTTCACAATGACGTCAGATAACTTCCGCTTTTCCGTAAAGCCGGGTATACGCACTTCCGGTTTAACTTATGCGCGCTGGTTAACGTTACTTCAGGAAAACACAAAAGGTGATCACCGACAACACGAAAGGTAAAATTCAAATAGTATTACTGTTTACGTATGTAGCGTTATTGTATCGTATATGTAGGTTATTTTGATGACGTTAATGATCATTTCCAGTCACTTATTGCATTCTTTAACGTGTGACTGTCGTGGAGGAGACAGAGAACGTTAGCTAGCACCAAGATTACCTGTTAAATCGCGGTCAGCCCGTGTTTTTCCACAAGTTTACTAAAGTGTTACATTTTTATCAAAGCTAAATGTCAAACCATTTCCATATGCTGATGTGCTTTCATTCATTTTATTCCTGTGTCAATTTTTCAACAGTTTTCCATCAATAAGCATGGCAGAGTCATCTTGTAGATGCTACTGTAGTGTTCCTTGTTGTTCAAACAACAAACATAAATTTCCTTATTTAAGTTTCCACAATTTTCCAGTGGACGCTGAAATACGTGCATGTTGGGTTAGGGCAATCAAACGAGACGAGGGACCGAGTTTTAAAATCCTCCGTGGGAGCACGTACGTCTGTAGTAAGCACTTTACCCCAGAAGACCTAAGTGTCGGGGGAGAATTTGTTGAGGTGCATATTGTGAGAGTCTCAAGAACTCGTATGTGACCTTTCTTGGGAAACTCGTGACCTGACCTAGTCTACGATGAAATCCATATGTGGCTTGGACAGATCATATCATGTTCTTCTATTTACCTTTCTCCTCTGTTTCCCTCTCGGTCTAAATGATTGACTTGGTCCCACTGAGGGAGTGTCGCGGAGGTTCCCGAAACCACATCTGGTTACCATTCCTCGGACCTTCAGAGATGTATAAAAGCTCCTGGTTCCCCCCCAGAAACTTGGTCAGATCTTCCTGCTCCTTTTGGGGGAAGGAACATTCTGTCCCTTTTCAGCTGAATTGTAGTCATTTGACTTCTGTCTGTACTTACGGCTTGTGTTGATGATTCTTGTATACTTATGATTTTTCCTATATCCTAATTAGTAAAATACTTAATCATAAGCGTGTCTCTGATACTTTTGATTTCTCACAAGGCCTAAATCCACAATTTCCACCACAAACTTGGCGACGAGGATGGGATGGACGCGTGATCTGGACTCTGACGGACGGACAGGAGGCCATATAGTATAGGTGATTCCTCCCTGAGGGTGAGAAGCTGCCGTCCCGACGAGACCTGGATTGCCGATCCATCCAGTTCAAGAAAAGAAACGAAGAACACGCGGTGAGAGATCAAAATTATTTTAAAGGCAGACAGAGTCATGACAAAAGGGTTTTAGGCCTATCTCACAACGAGTGTGTTGTAGACAGACGTGTCTGGGTCACCTGTAGTATTCGTCACAAAGTTGCAACATCCTGTGTCTGAAGTTCACAGGCGCGACTTTGGATCAGTGCAGTAGACTGAGTGACCAGAGAAAGCAACGGTCAACTGACTTGCCTTAGTTATGCATGTGGTATTTCTTTGTTTGTATGCACCTTTATAGGCGCGCACACTCCGGGTATACAGATACAGATAACTAAAATGGGTAGTGTTCAGAGTAAAGGGGAGGCAGGTGAAAACCATGAGACTAATATCCTGCCACCATTGTGTAAATTTATGTCAGAGCATTATCCTGGCAGTTTGAATCAAATACAAAGGTGGGTTGAATTGGGGTTTCCTTCAAAGGGGAGTTTGAGTGAAAATCAATTGGAACAGTTGGAATTGCAACTGAGGGAAAAGGAGAAGAACGATGCAGCTCAGCATGCAGGCCTGTCGAGAAGAAAGCAGAAGAAGAATGTGGTATTTAAGGCAGACTGGGAAGCCTTCAAGATGTGGAAGTATGAGTCGGAGAGAAGGGAGAGAAAGAGGTTGAAAGCCTTTAATTCATTAAAAAACAAAGAATCTACAAAAGGTGCTGAAATATGTACCCCCTGTAATCCTAAAACACTTTATCCTTGTTTTTCTGAGATCCTGAAGAGATCGGTGGACACGGATCTGGACTCCCCCCCTCCCCTCACTGCTCCTCCAGCCTACGTGAGCCCCCAGCTTCCTCAGCAGGATGCAGCACAAGCGAACCTTCCTCGGCTTGACAACAGCCCGCCAGGAGAGAGGCCAGATTCAACCTCCCACGCCAGCCAGACGACCTTTTCACCTGCTATGACCCGCTCGCAGGCTCAACAAAGGCAGGCCTTGCTAAGAGGAAAACAGGAGGCATTGTTTGATTCTGAAGCTTCTTTTCCAATGGTAGAAGTGGCGGGTGCACAAGGGACAATGTTGGTGTTCAGACCCTGGTCCGACACCGACGTGGCCGAAGCAATGAGCCACGTTTGCAATCCTAAGGATAATCTTGCTATGTGGGAGACCGATCTGAAGCAATTTGTCAGAGAATACCGGCCGACCATGTCAGAGCTGCGGCGTCTGATGTGCAGACTTCTGAAACATGACTATCACAGAGTCCAAGGTGTGTTCACCACCACAAGAATGACTGCTCGCCTGAAAGATCCGGATTATGAGAATGACACAAACGCGGCCTTTAGAAACGCTGTTGATGCTCTCGTTGTGTTGGTAAAAGAACAATTTCCTCTGAGACTGAACCTTTCCACCATCACTTCTATGATACAAGGGCCACAAGAAACATGCAGCTCCTTCCTGGCACGCCTGACAACAGCCTTTGACACTCACAGCGGTCTCAACCGACCTGATCCGATGGGGGCACAGCCCCTGATGCCATATGAAGTCCATCTGAAAGAACATTTTATGAGCAGAATGAGACCTGAGCTTATACAGATGGTGAAAAGATCATGTGTGACCTGGAAAACATGTGCTCTTGCAGACATCCTTCAGCACGCTGAACACGCTGAAGGTGAATTACACAGAAAAGATGAACAAAAGAAAGAGGGCAGACAAAAAAGACTGGAAGAAGCTCAGTTTGCCATGTTCAACACGCTTGCAGAGCCAACCCACAAATTTGCCCAAGGCCAACGTGGAAGAGGAAGAGGCTACGGAAGGGCTCGTGGCAGAGGCAGATCAGACCGAAGTTACAGAAGGTATGATCCAAATATTTGTCACAACTGCGGAAAACAAGGACATTGGCAGGCAGAGTGTCCGGAGGACAAAAGCATGAGGCCATCACACCACGCGTCTGACTGAGAGGGACAGTGGGAGGGGCGGACCCCAGAGACGGATCACCCCACCACAGAGGAGAAAGTAATGCACCCTACACACACTCGTATACAGAACAAAACAGTTAGCGCTGGCACAACCACACACATCTTAAATTTTGCCATGTATGTTAGTAACCCAGGATATAAGAAATTTCCCCAATTAACATTGATGATTTCTAGCCATCCAGTAACATTTTTAGTTGACTCGGGAGCTACAAACTCAGTTTTAAGAATAGATGCCCTGCCCCAGCCTCCAAAAAGGAGTGGCAGAACACGTCTTACAGTGGGATCAAGCGGTGTTCCCGTTTCAGAGAGTTGCTCTGTTCCTTTAAGATGTGAGCTTGATGACCAGATGACGAAACATTCTTTTCTGGTGTCACAAAATTGCCCGGTGAATCTGATGGGGAGAGATCTGATGTGTTACTTTGGCATTGCGTTAAGCTCAACATCAGATGGCATCAAGGTGTTGAAAAAAGCTGAGCTCCCATTAATTCAGATGTTTAACTGTAGTCCAAAACCCCTCCTTTACGTATATGAATGGAAACTAATGTTAGACCAGGAAACACCAATTACTCATGACCTTGTTAAAATTGTAAAAACACACAGTACTGCAGCAGAAGATTGCATGCACGAACAGTCATTACATTGTACATCCCACGTAAGCATAGGGCCACACAGAAGGTACGAGGATGTGTGGCATGACCAAAAGTTGGAGAAAGAGAGATTGTGTTTGAAGCATGTGTATTGGTCAGAGGAGGCTGCTGCGGTGTCTGTATCTCTCTCTCCCTCCCAGGAAAAAGTGTTCTTTGGTTCTACTCCACACATTTCATTGGCTAAACCATCTCACTGGGAATGGCAGGATCTTGGTCCATGGTTGCAGCAGTGTCTCGGCCTAACAGATTTCAGACCGGGTGCAGAGGATCCTCATGAAGAGTATAGCGCTAGTGGTAATGTAGGTCGCACTACATTGAGCACACGAGTAAGTGTACACAGAACGGTAGAGCTCGTCGAGGAACACACACAATACGCAGAATTGTATCCGATAGCAGCAGCAGACGAAATTCCAGAGCTGTCACAAGTACCGCCTTCACTGTGGGCCGCACACAAGTACGATGTGGGTCTCATAAAAGGTGCGGCGTCATTGGTTGTGTGTCCTAAGTCAAATTACAGGCCGTGCCTTAAACAATACCCACTCAAACAAGAAGCTATTGTGGGTATAAAACCAGTGTTTGAATCCCTTTTAAAATCAGGTATTATTGTACCATGTGAAGATTCACCTGTCCGTACACCTATTTTTCCGGTAAAAAAGATTCGCGATAAAGGTCAGCCCACAGAATGGAGATTTGTGCAGGATTTGCAAGCAGTAAATGCAGCCACCTATCAGCGAGCACCAGAAGTGGCAAATCCACATACAATTTTGTCACTGGTCCCACCAGGCTCCACGCATTTTTCTGTTATTGACCTGGCCAATGCATTCTTTTCTGTTCCAGTTCACCCAGATAGTCAAAGCTGGTTTGGGTTTTCTTTTAATGGCCGCGGCTACACGTGGACCAGATGTCCAATGGGTTACCACGAAAGCCCAGGGGTATTCCACAGAGCGCTTAGCGAGAATCTACAAAATTTACACCTCCCTGCAGGGTCGGCCCTTCTAAATTATGTGGATGATATGATGATTTGCAGCCCATCAAAGGAGGCTTGTAAAATTGACACGGTAGTGCTACTTAAACATTTGGCAGAGAACGGACATAAGGCTAGCCTGCAAAAACTTCAATTCGCTCTAGAACAAGTGATTTATCTGGGACATGTGATCACAGCTGAGGGCAAATCCCTCTCTCCCAAACGTATTGGGGCAATTCAATCGGTACCAAAACCAATTACAAAAAAACAAATGATGAGTTTCCTGGGGATGACTTCATACTGTAGACAGTGGATCCCTATTTATTCAGAAAGAGAGGCACCTCTCTCGTTCATGGTCCACGGTAAAGGCCTCAGCGCGCATGACAAACTGACTTGGACTACTGAAGCTGAAAAGGCTTTTCAGGACTTAAAGACTTCCTTATCACAGGCTCCGACTTTGGGCCTACCGAGACCTGACTTGCCGTACACCCAGTTTATAGACCAGAAGGACTGCTATATGACATCAGTTTTGTGTCAGCCTCATGGAGGGAAACTTAGGCCGGTTGCCTACTTCTCCTCAAAACTTATCCTCCTTATCCTCTCTGTTTGCGAGCAGTGGCAGCAGCTGAGAAAGCCATTTTAGCATCACGCGACATTGTGGGCTACTGTGATGTCACACTTATGGTTCCCCATGCTGTCTCCCATATCTTACATGCCCAGAAGACTTCTCACCTCTCTGCTCAGAGATGGCTCAGGTATCATACAACGTTGTTAGAACTGCCTAACGTAATTGTCAAACGATGCAATGTCCTTAACCCAGCTACACTCCTCCCAACAGCAGATGACGGGGAGCCTCATGATGATGATTTTTCCTATATCCTAATTAGTAAAATACTTAATCATAAGCGAGTCTCTGATACTTTTGATTTCTCACAAGGCCTAAATCCACAATTTCCACCACACTATGTACATCAGCCAGTGGACGAACCCGGATTAAAAAAGGAGCAACGCCATCTAGATTCCCCTGGAATGACTGGGGTAAAGGTAGGACACTATAAAGCCTGGCAGTACATATAAATAACAATAAATCATAATTCATTGCATTGTTTACAATTGTGCTTATATGAATTTTATACAGCTTATTAGTCCATATAAAAAAGTATAATAAATCACCCTGTTGCCATTTGTTATTATTGCATTTGTGGTAGTATTATACATGTTTTGAGACCTGAGAAATGATTGCTAAATATCCATAATGACATTTATGTGTATCTATTTCACATCTCACAGGAAGAGCCTCACAAGCTTGACAGTCAGTTTACCAGAGAACAAGGAAGCATTTTAGGGCTGCAGTCCTAGATGAACCTCAGGAGCTGCCTGTCCCAGGAGACATCACAGAGGAAGCACTGCCTGCGTGTGGAGTAGCAGAAGATCATGACTATGCCTACTGTATTGGCAATCTTAGGTTTGCTGCCCCTTTAGCTGGCTTCTTGTTGTTCTTTGCCATCAGGCACAGGTGGGAGTGATGTTTCGACGCAGACACACAAAAGATTTTCCAGCGATGATTGTAGTTGAGGTTTGTAATTTATTGCAGGCAATTGTATAAACAGATGAACATACCGGTTGAACGTGCTCCTATTGATGGTGGTCTGTCTTCGTGGTCTGGTGAGAACTGTCTGGTGCTCCCCTACCTGTCCCTCGCTTCCTGTCACCTACGTCCCTTATGTACACCCATGTGCACCTAATCACCACCACCTAGTGTCCAAAGTGTCAATATAAATACAGTCTAACAAACAAAATATACTTTGCCAACAACAACACATAATGGCCCCTACACACCGGCCCCTAATTGTCTTTTATAACAATTACCAAAAAATAATAAAGTAATGTGTTGGCAATGTTGTTTTTTGTCTGAAATCGGACGGTACGCACAAGGCCTTGTGCATCTGCTTTCGCCTCCAGTATTCTACCCATTAACCAGGAGCCTCGTGGTTCAGTGGAGTCAACCACCACAACTATGTCACCTGGGGCAAAGTTCCTTTTTACCTTTGACCACCGCGGTCGTTCTTGTATTAATGGTAAGTACTCCTGTGTCCACCTTTGCCAGAAGAGATCTGCCATGTATTGTACTTGTCTCCATCTGCGCCTTAGATACAAGTCCTCTCTTACGAAGTCCAGGCGGTAGTATCGGCTTGGTTTTCAACAGGAGAAGGTGGTTTGGGGTGAGTGCTTCCAGGTCCATTGGGTCCTCTGAGAGCTTGGTAATGGGTCGATCATTTAGAATTGCTTCAACTTCACAAATTAAAGTTTGCAATCCTTCATCATCCAGAACAGAGCGCAGCACGTTTCGGACCATGCGGATCAAACGCTCCCATACACCGCCGTGATGAGATCCTGCTGGGGGGTTAAAGTGCCATTTAATTCCCTTCTGAAGCATAGCCGTCTGGATTTCGTCCTGATTCAAGGCATTGGGTGCTTCTCTCAATTCTCTTTCAGCTCCAACAAAGTTCGTTGCGTTGTCTGATCTTAAAGACCGCACTTGACCTCGCCGACAAATAAATCTTGGTAGTGTATGGATGCAGGAGTCTGTGTCAAGAGTATATGCAACTTCGAGATGCACTGCCCTGCTTGCCATGCAGGTGAAGATTACGCCATATCTTTTAACAAGACTTCGTCCTCTTTTGATCGCTATAGGGCCGAAGTAGTCTACTCCTACATCTGTAAATGGAGGCTTGTCTGGTAGAATCCTTTCCAGAGGTAAGTCTGCCATTTTCTGTTCTCCAACTCTTCCCCGCAGTCGTTTGCACACAACACAGTTTGTTATGATCCTTCTTGCTGCAGAGTTAGCTTTGATAATCCAGTACTTTTTACGGAGTCGGGACAGCATATGATTTCTTCCCTATGGCCAATTTGTTCGTGGATATGTCGTAGCAATAGTGTGGATACGTGCAGGTCTTTCGAGAGAATCACTGGGTGCTTGGCCTCTTCAGGCATCGCTGGTCTACTCAGGCGACCACCGACTCTCAGAAGTCCATCGTCCAACACCGGGTCCAGCTTGTACAGATGACTGCTTCTTTTAACACCATTTTTACCAGCCCCTAGTGTGGATAGTTCCTCTTCAAAGCTTTGCCTTTGACTGAAAGAGATAACAGCATGTTCTGCATGCATCAGGTCTTTGGAGTGTTGCTTTAAAGGCGTGCATTTCCTTTAGTTGGCTGACCTCGTCTTTAAAGATACTCACAGCGGTCTGGATCTCCTTTCTTTTTCTAGTCAGCAGTAAGAGAGTTGTTTTTACTTTAAGTAGCCACGCTACAGCTGTCACTAGACTTTTCCAAGAAGAGAAATAACTCATCAAAGAGCTGGTGGGGTTCAATGGACCTTTCACAATAAGGTTACTTGTGATGTCTTGCTTGACTTCTGGATCATTGACAGAGATTGTGGTTTCCAAAAAAGGTTTCTGCCATTCTTTTTCTGGTTGACAGAGAAACTCTGGTCCTTTGATCCATCTCCTGCAGCTTAAGAAGCGGTTTGCCGTTAGTCCTCTAGAGGCTTCATCTGCCGGATTTTCCTTTGTGCTGACATATCTCCATTGTGACACGTCGGTAGCGTCCCTTACGAAGGAGATTCTATTTGCTACGAAGGTTCGGAAACGTTTTGTTTCGTTGGTGATGTATTTCAGCACTGTTGTGCTATCCGTCCAGAAGGTGGATTTGTTCAGCTGAAGCTGTAATTCTCTCCGAAGCATTATATCAACTGTTTTCTGTTTTCTGCATTATATCTCTGTTTTCTACAGAGTTCCTGCATAATCTGTTTGGCTGGCAGAACAAATGGCGCCAGGAATCCCAAAGGGTCGTATACAGAGCCAACCACGGACAGGATGCCGCGTCTGGTGTATGCTCATGAGGGTGCAGTCATTCTGAACGTGAACACGTCTGTCTCAACGCACCAGTGCAATCCTAGTGCGCTTTCCATCGGCAGGTTGTCCTTGTCCAAGTCCAACTCTTTTATTTCCTTGGTTCGGTTTTCTTGTGGAATGGATGCCAATACCTTACGGCTGTTGCTGATCCACTTAGACAGTATGAATCCTCCCTTCTGGCAGAGAGTGGTCAGGTCTCTTACCATAAGAACAGCGCCCTGTTCTGTGGACATGGATTTCAAACAATCATCTACGTAAAAGTTGTTTTTTACGGTGTCTATAACCTCTGCTGGAAAGTGAGTTTGGTTATCTTCAGCGGTCTTTCTTAGTGCAAAATTTGCACAACTCGGCGATGACACTGCTCCAAAGAGGTGTACTTTCATCCGATATTCGACGAGATCCTGCTGCACGTCACCATCAGGCCACCATAGGAATCGCAAGTAGTCGATATGGTTGTCTGACACTTTGACCTGGTGAAACATTGCTTTGATGTCAGCCATCAGGGCAACAGGCTCTTGTCTGAATCTGAGGAGTACTCCTATAAGTGAGTTGGTAAGATCTGGACCCTGTAGCAATTGTTCATTGAGCGATGTTCCCTTGAAGCCAGCGCCGCAGTCGAAGACCACTCTCAGGGTTCCATTCCTCGGGTGATACACCCCGTGATGTGGGATGTACCAGAGTTTCCCATCAGTACGATTCAGTTGATCCTCTGGTATCCTTTCCGCATAGCCGTTGTTAACCATTTCTTTGAGAAAAGTTGTATATTCTTCGCGAAACATCTCCTTTTTAACAAACTTGCGTTTCAGGCTTTGGATGCGTTGCTCTGCTATGCAACGGTTGCTTGGCATGCGGGGATTTTCTTGCTTGAAAGGTAAGTCTATGCAATAGTGACCATCTGTAATTTTTGATGAGTGATTCACGATATCCAGGAATTTTATTTCTTCTCTGGACATTTCCTCTGTTTCCTTGCTGCTTTCTTCATTGTAGTCGTGATTGTATTGTTTAACCAGTAGCTCCTCTAAGTTCACGATGGACAGTCGGTTGACCGCAGCAGCAGGGCAGCCATTCTCATCCCTGCTGTTGTCTCCTCTCAAAGGACCATATATGACCCACCCCAATAGGGTCCTCACAGCGTATGGTCCATTGGCTTGGCTATTGACCACCTCCCAAGGTTCCAATGCCTTAGAAGCATTTGTGCCTATGAGCAGGTCAATGCCAGAATCTATTTCATGAATCTTGGCGTCCTTCAAGTAAGGCCATTGCATCAGGTCTTCTTGTCTAGGAATGTTGAGCTTGGAAACAGGCATGATCTTATGTGTAAATACATTGGGCAGTTGTATGAAATCAGTTTTGTCCAGACTTGATATCTCTAAACCTGGGATATGATGACTAGTCACAGGTTTCACTTGGTTCATTGTACGTAAAAGAATACTAGTCTTTTGTCCTGTTACATTCTGTGCAGAAGGTGGCTGAGCTTCCATGGTCCAAAAACGCATACGTCTGCAACACAGTGTCTCCCTTGGGGGTCTTCACTTGTACTGGCACAATAGAGAAGAGACAGGCTATTTCACCGGCCCCAATATGCCCACATGTATGAGGTGAGAGAACAGCATTGCTCCCAATTGATTTTCCAACCAATTCTGTTTTCCTTCCTATGTCTCTTTGTTCAATGTGAAGTATTTCAGGGTGATTTTTGTTGCAGATGTCACAAGTCAAACGACTATTGCAGTCTTTGCTCATGTGTCCTACTATCAAACAGCCAAAACAGACTCCCCTTTTCCTTAAGAAGTCAATTTTTTCCCTGTGCATCTTTTTCCTAATTTGTGGACACCGCACCAATGTGTGACCATCTCTCTCACAGAACCAACAGGAATTTTGAGGGTTGGTGACGGATACATTTTTCATTCCACTTGTCATTTTTTCTTGTATTGGCATTTCCACAGGTGTTGCAGTAGTTGCAAAACTGCTTCCTCTTGGTCTCGGCCCATCTCTTGCTGTGACATAGGTTTTGACGGATGTAGTTGTCTTAGCATCCTGGATGTTCCCAAAGAGTGGATCCGACAATATCTTCACTTGTCTCTCCATGAAGTCTACCAAGTCAGAGAAACTAGCTCGACGTCCATGCTGTTCCGGGAGCTGACATGCCCTATTCCTCCACTTGTCTCTGAGCTTGTAAGGCAGTTTCAGAAGAATGGTCTTCATACTGGAAGCAACGTTCAACTCCTCCATATAGGTGAGTTGTTCCATTGCATTGCAACAACCTCTCGGGAATAATGTAAACGCTTGCAATGCTTTCACGTCCTCTGGCTTGATCGCTGGCCAGGCAAATGCTTTGTCCATGTGTGCTGTAGCAATCTCATGTTCGCTACCAAAATGTTCTTTAAGCAGCTCTTTTGCTCTTTTATAGCCCTCAGCCGAAGACAAATGTTGACAGCTGTGGACTAAATCCTTTGGATACCCTCTGGTATATTGCTCTAGGAAATGCAGGCAGTCACTGTAGTCATTCAGTCTTTCTTTCCACTCCTCTCTCGAATGCCCTGATGAAAACTCCATATTGCAAGGGATCACCATCGTAAACAGGAATATCTCTTGGTGGTAAAGTAGAAGAGAGATTGTGTTGAGCTAGAAGAGTGGTTATGTCACTTCTGAATGATGTGATAGATATCACCTTGATTATGATCATTATATCCAGGTTGTGTTAGA